CTTGCCCAGCGTCACAAGCTGGTACAGCACAATTGTTCATTGACATTCCTCCTGCTCCCAATTTCATGTTCAGTCAAGTTGTTGTCAAGGACGGAGTGCCATTTCCATTTACTTGTGGAGCTGTCTGTGAGAAGATTGCTTGAGGAACAGAACAGCAACAATCAGTCAGCTAAAATAAACCTTTGTTCTTAGTTTGACATTTATTGCAATGTTCTAACTGTAATGTTGGGAGCGGGGGTTGAAGGGTCTCATCTGTCATAATTTGAGTCTCTCATCAGTAATGACTTCAGCAAAAAGATTCACTTTTTGAAGGGGGAGGGGAAAAAAACCCCAACTCCTGTTTGGTTTCTGTGTAGCCTGTGCACTAAGTTACGTGAACAATAACCACTGTGAGATTTGCATCATTCGGGAAAGAGGGGTACCTGTTATTTGCCCCAACCTTGCTGGACGCTTATGTCATATTGTGCATCCTTGAGAGGATTATTTGGGAGCCCAGTCTTCTAACAGGGAAAACCTGCCAGATGTGACGATACCCCGAGCTCCTACAGTTAGGCAATGTGTAGTTCGTCAGCTGGGCTGGTTGGATTGCTGCGTGTATGGTAGGGGCCTCTTTGGAAGGTGCTGTAGAAGTGAATAATCTTCGTGACTACATTCTGGATGCACAATAAGCATGCTGAAGAACCTGAGTCATGAAGAAGCCCATCTTCCATGTTCTTCTGGGGACAGAAAAATTACCAAAGAAAGATAAATGTCCAGTGATAAAGCAAGTATCTAGAGGCAGAGTATGCTTGGAGGCAAGAGGAGGACATAAAGCAAGGCAAGAAGAATCTGGACTGAGAGAAGACAAGATTAAAAGAAAGGTAGCTGGTGCAGAATAAAGAACTACGTAATGTTCCAGAGGAGAAATCATGAATAGGAAGCTCTGCAATTAAATCCCTTCTGGTAGAAGAAATGGTATCCTGAATAAAGAAACTGAGCTGGGGTATGGCATATAGATACTGCCTGGATATCTAGACAGCATCAGAAATCTAAAGTAAAAAAATAAGTATAAAAGGTTTCAGAAGTACCTAGGGTTGTGTTATGTTTTAATTATATTATCTGGAAATGGCACTGTGCTCTAATTCATCAGCTGTCTGTTGCTCTAGGAAATTTGTGCTCTGTGATTTGAACCGTGGCTGTAATTTTGTTTTGCTTCAGCTTCTTTTTAAGAGTTGGAGTGGAAGGTGTGAACAGGTCAGTGTTATTGATGCTTAGTGACATAAAGCAGCTGGGATACAAGATCCTGAGTTTTGTGAAAAGCTAAAAGTCTTCCAGAACTGGTAGTTCAGTTGTAAAGTCCAGTATGATTGCAGTCTATTGAAAATGCAGTAATAGGAGTCTGAGAAGGGTGATAATACCTTCTTAAGACTAATTAGATTTTCTAAACAAAGCTGCCTATGGGTCTTTTTAAACATCTCACTAGTAAATCAGTTATCCAAAATTCAAGTCTGCATCTTCAATTTATGATTAATTTCTAAACCAGTTATTTTGGGATTGACGTGTTAGAGGCGAAGCAAGCCTGCAGTGTGATTTAATTCTGTTTTCTCTGATGCCTTATTGTGTAAGCTGTTAAACAGAAAATAGTTTGGATAACCAGGCTATTGCTGCCCTTAGCTAGTAGACTATGAAGTTGTCTTGGGAGGGAAATTCCTTTTGTCACAGAACAGAATTTCAAATACTTAGTGAGATAGAGATACATACATACACACACACACTCTCCTGCACTAATTTTCTTTTGCCTTGGCAAGCGTGTCAGGAGTGTTGCGCCTCTTTTTGAGTTATTTCATTTCCTGCAAGAGAAGAGTCTTTTTGCAGAATATTAGATAGCAAGACTGAACTTGTGCCATGACAGCGACAGCAAGCTAGTTGTGGTGCTGAACTGTGACTTAACAGGAGCCAGCAGCTGCTGGCAAGCTGTTAATTAAAAAAAATCTGTATAAACGCTGTACTTGTAGCACTACTTCTGGTAATATGAAATGTAGTCAAGATTATCCATTTCCTTATATCTCTTAAGGTAAATGATGTGGAAATTAAAGAGCGAGAGAGACGCTCTTTACGTATCTGGAAGTATGGTGAAAAATCTTACTCTTTGTACAGAAGTTGATTCAGTCACTGGGTTGCTGAGATGGTTTTAGAGTTGTGGTATTGAATTCTGCCTGTCCCCTTCCCCTCTTCGCCTACCTTGAAAACTTTTGCATGGAAAAAACTCTCAGTAGCAGTAAAACATGGTTATGTGTGGTTGGTTGGTAACATTCTGATAACCGTTATAGCAGCCACAAAAAGTAAGGATCAGGTTGTGGTTTTATTATCAGAAAAATTTTCATTGGGGCAACACAAAATATTTGAAAGCTGTTATGTGGTTTTGAAGTAGAAAGCATGTTTGTCATGCCATCTGAGCATGGTCAGAATTTTAAACGTACCACAAGTGCTGGAAACCATTCATCAAAATGCACACTCTGGTCCGGTGTATTTTTTGTTTTGTACCTGATGTTTTTCCCAATGATAAACAATAATACTTTCTCCTGGACTTTAATAATAGCTTGGCCTAAAGTGTACTTTATTTACAGGTTTGGGAGTGTCTTTGATCGGGCTTTCTTCCAGGTTCTGCAACAGTTTGAGTCTTACTTTCTCCTTTATTCTAATAGAAGCATTTTGCCTTACCTAAGACAGGGGAAAAAAAACCTAGTGGTACTTTATTGGTAATGAGCAGAAAGTTGCATAATAGTCTGTCTTTCACGTATTGCTAGTGCTCTAGACTTGGTCAGTATCTTTCTAATGCTTGTTTCTTTCCTACAAATCTGCATTAGCCAAGCATAACTTTGAAACAACCACTATAAGAATCTTGGTAGTAAACCATTCATTGAAAGAAATCTATTTTGGAAGTCCTGTTTTATTTATTTTTATTGAGAGTTGTTAGTGAGAGCATTGCAATCTTTAAGCTTCAGTGTAGAAGCAAGGTTATCTTTTTATAATTTGCAGTATAATAGATAATCTTTATTCACTTTGTAGGCTCTTACAGAATGACCTTGCAGTGAGCGTTTGTGGAAGAAGCAAGATTTAAACATCAGTTCTTCAATGTGCATCCTTCTATTCAAATTTGACCCCCGACCAGTTTCAAAAAATGCATACAGGTAAAGATGGTTCTAGTTAAAACAGACCTGTTTCTATAATTTTTTTTATACAGTTTCTTTTTGTAGCCAATGTTTGAATTGGAAACTCAAGTCAGTATTAGATGTTCAATTATGCTTTTGTAATGTTTAACTTTGACTTTCCCCGTTGGAGGACTTACTGTAACCTTTCGAGAACCCTTTGTTTTTAGACTATGTCAGAAGACTTGGGCTTTGTAATCGTGGACCTTTTGATGGTGGTCTATCGTGTGCTGTAGGATAAATCCTTTAAATATTGTAATCTAAAGTTTGAAAGTCCTGCCTTCTACTTTATCATTTAAACTGCGGGGAATTGTGTTTGTTGGGGCATCGCAGCTGTAGCAATGAGGTTCAGGAAAAGACGCAATTTCTTTCAATAGGGTAGATATGTTTAGGGCTTTCAGTTTGAAACTAACAATTGGAATTTAGCCTGGAAAGTAATGCGCAGGCAGTAGAGCAGAAGTATTGCAGTTATTGACTCTGTATTAATTTCTCTTCTGTTAATATGTGCTGGTCCAGTCTTGTAAGCTGAGGGAGTAATACGCTATGAATCCAAAAGGTACTAATACTGAAACTTAACTGCTTAGGTAGCTTCTGGTGAACTTTGAATTGCCACTTTGTCCTGCTTCCTCCCAAGGACAGTACCTTCTTGTTCACTGCGTAGTTCACTGCTCTGTTCCATGTTACGTCGTGGCTACCACTGCTTGCTCTTCCTCTGTGATTTTGACAGAACTGGCTAGCTTGTGAATAGGTGCAGTTGCTTTTTAAAAATGGATAGATGAGGTCAAGGTTATTTATGCCTATCGGTTTGCTTTTGGGACAAGGTGTACTTAAAGATCCTCAGTTGCTGTTTGTCCTAAAATTAAGTACTTACAATTTCAGAAAATGCTGGAAATCAAATCTCACTGCTTTCAAACTGATTATACTCCTGTATCGATGTAAAACAAGTAGTGCTGTGAACTGGAGAATAAGGAACTTCAAACTAACAGTCATATTAAAATTTTATGTAATTAAAATTTAAAATTAATTACAATTTTAGGTAACAAACTAGTAGTCATGTGCATGAGATATTTAGCCAACAGCTTAAGACAAAACAAGCATCCATTCTTCTAAGCAAGTTTAACTGGATGTGTTGATGTCATACAGTGTGTTTCCCAAACATTAAACTTTAATAATTTTCCCTCTCATTACAGCCCTTAATTTTAAAAGTTCATATCCAACATCAGTAGCTTTGAGTACATTCTGTATGTAATAGAAAGACAGCACTTCAGGCCAGTAAAAACACTGCAGAGTTCTATTGCTTTCTGTATTTATACATACTGTATAGGTCCCATATTACTTTGTGGGGTAAGATTGCTGGTATTCATCCAGAACCCATCACTCGGTATGCTCAGTAAATCGTTGTGCCTTTCATTGACTTGTTGTTCTGCCCTTGTGTATTGAGAAGCAGATGCCATTCTATAGAAAGAAAGGAAATGAGAACCGAAGCTTCAATTGTCCATAGAGTGCATTCCTTTCTGCATCTGGAATCTGCCTCAAAAGGGCTTTTGTTTATTATGTGACTGGTGTTGAATTAATATATCCATTTATTTGGTCTGACTTTCTTTGTGTTGCTAGTTAGCCAAAGACAGATCCATCAATTTGATGCCTCTTGGGAAAATCCTTTGGATGTAAACTGTAGTTGTTTGCCAAGTGAACTTTCTGCCATGATCAATATTTAAAATTAAAACTTATAGTAGCTTGCTTGCTATAAAAAATTGCATCAAGATTGAAATTATTGATTTATAGCAGAAAACAACTTGCTATCAGTGACAAAATAGGAAAACACTTTTAAGATGTTTTGGCCCAAATTCAGGAATATTTAATGGTATTTAACTTTCTCGTTTTTTTTTTTTTTTTTTTAGGCGATGTCTTACTCTATACCTCTGAGATAAATTACTATGAGCCATCTGTTTCAGTGATAAGTGCCAGGTCATAGTGTTCTTGGTGTCAGATTTTAACATCAGATACATAACTTTAGTCCTCCTTTTTTTTTTTCCTTAACACACCATAACTAAATCTTTCTGTTTGTCTTTATTTGGAAGAATGTTGAAGTTCTTTCTTCTTAAACTGTTCCTAAGGTTTTTTTCACCTTTGCCTCAGCTTTCTGAAGGACATAGGTCTGAGTATCAGCTGGGAATAGTACCCAGCCCTCCTAATTCTCTGAACACTATTATAGCCGTTAGACCAAATTAGACCTCTATACTAGTCTCTTGCTACGCGTAATTTTTCCTGACAACTCGTGTGTGTTACTCTGTGCTATAGCTCTGTTTATTTCACGGTGAGGTCTTGGAACAGTTTTCCCAACCAAAAGGGGATTCGTGTACCTGCAGACATGCTAATTTGTCTGTCCACATTAAAACAGGCATCTACAATTATTTTTTTTTTTTTACTATCCTCTACTTTGCATCTCTAACTAAAAGAAAGTGTCTAAAATAGGCATTAAAGATGGAAAAGACAAACTGCATATCATTGGCCATTTTCTTGTAGCCAATAAACTTGCTCAAACTAAAACATGTTCTCCATAGCACTTAGTCTGCCTGGATGGAAAATGCTCCTTTGGTTTCTAGAGCAATACGTTGGCCAATTTTCACGAGCACCTAATTAAGCAAAAAGCTTACAGTTCACCTTTGCGATACACTAATGAATCTCTGTCTTCATGTACCCTTGCAACTTGCTGTTCTACCCTTTTTCCTCTGTGTTCTCTCTACAGGCCTATTTGTAGTAAAGTTTAGTGCATTGTAAGAAATGCTTTACTGTAGTCCATTATTATTGTCAAAGGTAACATGCTGCCTTTACATCTTCCTGAACTATACTGTGTGCGTCTTACAAATAAATACGTTTCAGGCTTCAAAACTATAATCACAGTCTTTTTTTTTTTTTTTATGGAACTGAATTACATTGTAGGAAATTGCTTTAATGGAATGATTTCTCATGTTTTCATCTCTCTGCCTCAACATTAAAATAAATCTTAATACGTAAATCCTAATACAGTTGAATTATTTCAGCTATAAAAATAGCTGAATAGGCTTTTTGCAGTTTATTAGAAGATGAGGGTCACTTAATATTGCTCCTTTTCGGTCTGATTATGTTTCATAAAAGACAAAATGAAGATGTTTTGATTATAGCGATCCTGTATACTAGCCTTGTGCTAAATTTAGGAGTCTGTGTATTAAACTTGAGATGGGGAATATTCAATCACACCAGAAAGACTTCGCTTATTTTTAGTATTTAGATACTATAAACAAACCATGGTTTCGTGTCAAGAATTACTGAAGGCAAAATATAATTGGAGCTTCAGGAAATAAGAATTGCACTTCAGCCAAACTATTTTTTAACAGTAGAGATGTTTATTTAAATAAAAATCTGTAAAAGGAAGATGCATGCTGTAAACGAAGACTAGAATCAGCTAGAAGAAGAGCAACACTGCAAGTCTGAAAGGAATGATGTTAGGATTATTTGATTGGAAAGATAAAAATGTACATGTGCTGTGCTTTCCAACAGATGCTATATTTGGGCAAAATACTAAGCCTCTTCCTTACAGAAAGGATGCCATTGAAGTGTTAGCCATTAATTTCTCTATAGCTGATTATAATTCTTTATCTGTAGTATTTCTAATGTGCAGCTGGCACCTCATGATCATGTTTTAAAACATTTAACGTTGTGTTAATGAAGAGATGAATTTGCAGGAAAGGTCCAGAAACATTTGAATGCTGGGTAAAGTAATGAGATTTCCTTGGAGTTGATTCTTGTGTGTTGCGGCTTAAAAATTAGAATGAAAACCGTATGGTCTAATTTCGGTTTACAGTAGCAAACTTGGCTTCTGCTGTGTAAATGTAATTGACGTGCAGCTGGTAGGAGGAACGGACAGCGAAGAAGATACTGAGGTTATAGGAAACTGGTTAATAAAATCTGCAGGCTTCTGAAAGATGGCATTTCATTAAAATTAAATATTAAGCAACATAGCTGGAGAGAATGGGAAACACCCAGAAACTCGCAATTGAAATAAAGGCAAGTCGCGTTATGGGTAATAATGAGCAGGACTTTGGAAGCCCTAGCTGCTGGATGCCGGCATGGTGTGGTGGAGTTGCGCACAAGCGTGTCTGCAGTCACTCGTTGCCCTGAGTCTCCAGCATATGGCTCGCCTAGGGTTACAGTTGTCTTTTGCCCTTTGCTTGGATCAACCAAATCCATTACCTGCTCTTCAGGTGAGGATGTGCTACCAATGGAAAAAAAAAAAATTTTTTTTTTTTTTTAATTCCAAAATAATGATTGAAAGAAGACTGATGGAAGAGCACCATCAAATGAAAGCTCATCTACAGGTTTGAAAATGGCGGTGTCTGAATGCTGATTCTCAGTACAGAAACCCAGTAGCACTTCTAACTCAAGCTTTTATTTATAGATACCCTGCATCTATTTGATGTTGCAGTAAGTCATTAAATTTAGTTTCTGATGCTGTCTTCCATGGTTTTTGAATAACAGAAAATGTTAACTTTCTCACTTTGAAAAGGTGGATGTGCACAGTCAGGTTAGCCTAGACTCTTTCTAGTGTTCCAGTGCTAACACTGCTAGTGAAATGACTGTAACATGCATTCAGTAAGGTACTTGTATGGCCTGTAAGGGAGCACACCAAACAAGTTGCTTTGTTTTAATAACTTCTGCTGGGTGAAACGGACAGAGTAACAGTTCTTGCTTTTCAAAGCCCAAGAACTGAGGCTGTTCTAAATTCCTCTGAGGCTGTCCAGCTGTACTGACTGTGTAAGTCTTACCTGCTTTACATTCACAGCCCGACTGACTTGAACTGGTGTTATTGTAGAATTTGACTGGTCTGCACTGCTACCAAGCCTGGAACTTCTGAGGAAGACCTGTCCTATCTTGGATGTCCGCTGCTTCTTAAATATCATGTTGAACGTGGTCTTTCAAGTCTGCAGGTGCCATTTGCGATAATAATCAAAGAACAGAGCAGAGGGAAGCAGGCAGAGCTAGCAGAATTTTCTGTCACTGACATTTCCTAATAATGTCTGGTGGTGTTTAATATCTGTTTGGTTTCTATAAATTATCAGATTTTAGATGGCACATGAAGAGCTGCAGCATGCTTTTTGTCAGGACAGCACTTGGTCTTGTGGAGTGATGTGTTTATTTCTAAATACAAATAATGGATTTCATTCAGCAGCATTTTTCAGTTGCATATTATTTTTCATAACTTCTTCCTACCTCCTGATTGTGTCACCTCCAGGGCTGCTTGTAGTTTCTCTGCTGCAAGGGCTGACTCTCATTAAGGATTCAACTATTTTGTCCTACTGTTCTGGTCGAACTCAGCTTATGCAAGCAACTACACATGAAAAAACCCACAAAACAACAAAAAACAAAGGAGAAAAGCCCCACCAAAATACCTCTTGAGTTTAACAAAAACCCATGCCTTTTCTCTTTACTTCTCTGCCTCCTTGAGCATGCTGTTGTTTCTTCAGATGAATTTCAGTGGGGCTGGACCTTTGAGACTATCACAAATTTATCTCTGCCCTGGGTACTTACAGACAAAAGCATCTGACTTGTATCTTTGAACCACACAAGCAGAGCTTTAGGAGTCAAAGTTAAATTAACAAATACTGTGAGCACATGATCCTAAGTAAAGATACAGTACAAACATACTCTCATGCTTCAGATTTTTTTTATAAGTTACCTATAAATCTAAGTTACCTTTAAATTTTCTTTAATTGAGCTGTAACTTCACACGCTGAGGAATCTTAAGATTGCTTATGCAATCTTAATTCTATCTCTTGCGTTGTAAGTATTATTCTTTGAAAATAATAGCTGCCTCATTAACACAACAAGATAGACCTGCTGAGTGTCTCAAGACAATGAGAGAGAAGGCTGCTGTCGGATGTCATTCGACCTTTACACTGAGTGATAAAGATAAGACGGGAGGATAAAGGATGGTTTCATACCTAAGATGAGCTAATGCTGTGGCAACAATTGGATTCTGTTCCCACCTGTACGGTGAAGTTCCTATTTGTAAGTAGTAGTATGTTTTCCCTCTTGTGTTCTACAGGCTTATTCTAGCAGCTAATAGAGATGAATTTTACCACAGACCATCCAAATCGGCAGATTTTTGGGACAGCAGCAATGAGATCCTTAGTGGTATGTATGGCTTGTTGTTTTGAGTGGCTTTCATACAATTTATAAGGGAATTATGGCCTGGATTTTTTGTTATTGGGGTGGTGGTGTTGCATTTCTAATAAGAAATATGCTTCTTCCCTATGCTTCTGGGGAAAGCATGTCATAAGTTTGAAAGATGTGTTGTGCTATTATCTTATTTGTGTTTTAATATCTTGTGTTTTTTTCCCAATTTTATGTTCTTTAACTGATTTCAGTCTGAGCAGTGCAATGGAAATATATCAGATTAATTTGTCCATCACAAACAATTACTTTAGCTTTGTCAGATACACTGAAATACTTCTTAAAATAGGTGGAATTAGTTATTCCACAGTCTCATTGTCTGTAATAATGACTTGAAACCATTAAACCAAGCCTCAAGAAAGTGGAAACTTTCTGGTTTCTTGTAAGTTAATAATGTATAGGCTACAGAATAATTTTAGTTATTGATCCATCAGTCTATTAGCTTTCACGTCTACATTTTGCTAAACTGATAGTACAGCCGCTCAGCTGTCTGGTTCTCTTTTGTAGGGAATCTCTCCGTAGTCATTTTTAAGTATAATCAATACTTCTGCCTTTTCTCAGAAACAGAAGTGAAGCTCTGGAAGACAAAGCATTGTTTAAATGCAAGATTTTGACTTTGCGAATGCTCTTTGTTGATGCTGTGTGTTATTGTCATTGGCAGGGAGGCCTGTAAGGATAAATTACTCCCACTGCACTGCAACTCCCTTGCTTCTGAAGTTCTGGCTGTAGTTTCTGTTCCGTGCCAGCCATTCTGGATGCTGCTTCCCCTGCTATGTAGCAGTTTAAAACAAACAAACAAAAAACTATCCTGAAAACTGAAGGGCCCTGAATTTTTGTCTTATATCTTTATCGGCTCTGGCCGTGTTTGGCATAAGAAACTGGTGTATTCTCCAGCAGGGGGTGTATCTGTGGAGATGCCATGAATATATGCCTTTGAGTTGTTAATGTTAGCTCAGAGGAAAGCAGCAAGTTGAACGAAAATAAATCAAATTTATTCTTTGTATGACTTTAAAATGAAAACATATTTTGCACTTGCAGCAATTTCAGAAAGCAGGAATTGCTATATGTGAATCACTGGGCAGTGGTCAACAGAGCTGTATGTTTTTCTTTTGTGTGCCTTTCAGTTAAGGGAGAGAACAGTAGTAAAAGTATTGTGTAAAGATGTGATGTGGCTAAACTCAATATTGAAGTTTTGGATACTGAAGAAAGAAAGAAGCTCCTGACTAAGGATCTAAAACCTGTTCTTTTGATCTTCTAATGAAAGTTATCTTATGACATGATGATTCAGAATTAAAAGGTTTCTAACAGTATACATGTTATTAAACTAGTTTTTCCATAAAATGCTTGCTGGTTAACATGAGCTCATTACAAATAGGTAGTGTGTTGGGTTTTTTTAACTTGTACTCTCTTTCAAGAGGTTTGGTTGTGGGCTTCGCTTTTGCGGGTCCCCTTCCTCAATGTAAATTACTGTTACCAGAGTCCAAGATTTTATCAGTTACGTAGCTTACTCTAAATTTTTCTGGTTACTTGTGAATTTAAACTCACAAATAACATTAATCTTCTGAGATTTGCTTTTGAGCTAACAAGCATTCTGAGCTTACTTAAAGTTTTATATGTATTTTAGCATATAGGCAAAGCTTATAATTTTGCTTTTACATTTAATTTTCTCATTCTCTCTCATCTATTATTGCAGTAGCTTGGAAAAATTTAATAGTGCAGAATTGGAGGGCAGGTAATTTAAGTGGGCTTACCTCACTTGTCCAGAAAGACAGTCTTGTACCTACTGCATTTTATCCACATGAACGAGACTCCGGATTTTCATTAAGAAATTCTGATTTCAAGCTTGAGATTTTTTAAAATGAATGTAATAGCCTAACTCTTACTTATTCCATTAGGTCTGGATATGGAGGAAGGAAAAGAAGGTGGGACGTGGCTGGGAATCAGTAAGAAAGGCAAGATGGCAGCCCTGACAAACTATATGCAGCCAAAGATTGATAAAAATGCAAAAGGAAGAGGTATGAAAGAGTAGAAATAGAAAAAGAAGAAAGTGGAGAAACAAGCCCTGGTGGCCCAGTAAAATAGTGATGGTTACAATATTTTTTTAACACCACTTTATGGACAAACAAAATGGTTATTGCTGTAAACAGAATCTGTGAACTGATGATTTTGAGTACCTGTGTGGGGAACTTGACTTCGATAATGATATTCTAATCAAGCAGGCAAAAGTAAAACAAGGTATAGTACCTAGAGCCTAAGTTACGTTCAGACAAGAAATGCGGCACCAACCGTCTTCTCTTGACAGTAATTCTAATTAACAGTCAGAACAACTAGACAAGCATTGAGCTAGATTTAAATTACAGTAGACTTCTTGAAATGTTTATGTTGTTGTTCAAACACTTAAGCCAGGGAAACAACGTGACTTGGATTATGCTAGAGGTTAGTCTGATAAATCAGAGGAACAGAAATAATAGGAAAGAAAACCTCTTCCAAAAGAGTGCATCTGTGTGTGTGGTGTTTTTCTGGTTTTTTGGGGGTTTGTTTTGGTTTTGTTTTTTTTTTAAAGTAAAAATAGATCTGTTTGTCATATGGCACTGCATTGGGAATACATTGCAATGGCAAAACATGTTATACAGAGAAACAAATGGACCATGTCATTTGTAATTCATTTTAGGGTCATATATCAGGGAAATGAAGCAAGACAAGAAAGAGTTTGGTGAGGGGGGAGGAGAGGAAAGGCACATCCAGTATAGAATAGTTAGCAAATATGAATTCTATAGAAATTTTGACTGAGAGCTTCAGAGTAAAAGTCAAGCTCTTAATGTGAACATGATACAATGCTGTAAGACTTTTAAAGGCTGTCCCCCCGTTATACCCTGTTGGTAACAGGAATCTTGTTTCTTACTATTTGTTTTACCAAGCCTGTCAGAATAGCGAGTTCACCCATGCAAGTTGCTCTATGTACTTCTCTTTCTTAGGTGCTCTTGTAACAAACTTCTTGACTGCAGATCTGGACAGCTACTCTTACTTGAAGAAAGTTTCAGTAGAAGGACATCTTTACAATGGATTTAATTTATTAGCAGCTGACTTCAAGTAAGTCTACAAAACGTCACAGTTCACATGTCAAAGGGAGAAAGACAATAGCAGTGATGTCCGTATACTTCTTGGCACAGAAGTGTAACAGTACAGAAGCCTGCCACAAACTAAAGCTAGAGCTCTTCCTTTTTGCTAATTGGCATGTAAGGTCCTAATGTTACTCTAGTCATAATTTCCTTTGATTTTTTTTCATCTTTCAAACACTGGAGGGCTATCTTGTATTCTAATTGTTGCTTCCCGCAAAACTTCTTGTGTCTAATTGGCCATAGTCAGCCTTTACCATGAAGGGTATGTGGCTTGTGTTTTGGAGAAAACAAAGCCTTGGCTCCATAATTTCTCAAACTTTTTTTTCTTTTTCTCTGAGAGGTGGCATGCTGTGGCAGAATTAGAACAACTGAAAGCTTTCAAGCTATTATTCCCGTCAGAGTGACTGTATCATTAATCTTTGCTGAAACATTAAAAAAAAAAATCGGCATGTAACAAATACCTTAACTTCTTCAAGTTTCTGTAGCTGAAGGAAGGACCCTGGATACTTGATTATAGTCATTGTGGTTGGCACAGTCCTCTCCACTGCACACACATGTGTGTGCGCACAAGTGTATATGCTGATTTTTCTTTGCATTATGCCTGATTCAGAAGAATGGAAATCCAGGGCTAAGTCATCTCCAGGCTACGTATCAATTCTCAGTTAGGTGCATACCATAAGCAGGTATAAATTGCCAAGAGCACACTACTGCTTTGGCACGCTTTCTGCAGAAGCATTAATCTTACTAGGCCCTGCACCATCAGGTTGTCTTCTTCTTCTACTCAGCTTTTCTGCATGCTTCTGGGAAACCACATATATTTAAAGCAGAAGGTGATAGTGTGTACTGTTTTCAGTGAAAATAATTTCTAGCACCCTATCACTAACTGGCCTTGTGTTTACGTTTTTCACTTTCTGTATTAGACCACCTTCAGCTGGTGGTTCAGACTTACCAGTCATTTCTTCCCTACTCTCCCACCTTCCTGCAAGTGTTTTGTCTTTTTTTTAAGAAAGGCCTTTATTTCAAATTCTGCCAGGCTATTGGTTTTCATTTTTTAATTTGCTATGGTAGGTGGGGAAGTGAAATGAAACTCGTAGAGGTGATTGAAGTCTAAAAGGATGAATATGGAAAGGCAGACACGTGCCACCTGTGAAGATACCAGGAGTGTGTTTCTGCTTTGGTGTGCCTGCTTAGAAATAAGCATATAGCTTACGTTTCCAGAATTTTAATCCAGAAGCAGGTTAGCCAATTACAGGGTTTGCTGCTTTTCTGTTATTTTTACTCTCTACTTTAGAGTTCATTACCCCACCAGAGAGTTCCCAAAACTTTTCTGTTGCTTTAATTAATTTTTACCATGGTCAGAGGATTTGACTTTTTGTGCTCTCTGCTGCATGTTGCTTCCTGGTTAGCTTTCATAAATTGGAAGGCTATCTGTAACTGAAAACCTAACAGAAGAAATAGCCTTACTATGTTTTCAAGCAAACATGATATTCAACGTGTGACCTAGCAAGCAGTAAGTACGTTTGAGTTTCTTTTTTCTAATTTAGGTAAATAGAGTAGTCATAATGGCTGCTAGTATAATGATATTAAAGTAGATTCGACTGACTTTATTTGTTAAGGCGATCATTCGTGTGTTGGTTTTGTTTGTTTATTCCTCCATGCGAGGCTGGTAGGGAATTGTATGCTCAATTGAATAGTCTTTCTGTGGTGATGCAGGTCATAATTCCTTGCAGTGTATCACTCTGAAAGCTGTGTGTGTTGATTAACTTCTCCATTTTGATGTGTCCTTAGCCTTGGATACTCTGATGAAATGAAATTCTTGGCAAGCTAATGATGCAGAGCAATTTCTATAAGATATGTAAACTTGTCATTTTAGGAAATTAGAAGTACTCTTGAGAGAAATGTAGTATATAAATGGAAGCTACTTTTCTATGTCAATAAAAAATGTTATTGTAGTTGATGCTATTTTGTTAGGGCCATGTTACTGTTCAAAGAAAAGATTGAAGACTATTCTTAACGTGTTCTTCTGCTGTGTAACAAATAGTGATTGGCTCTGTTAGTGGTGTGAAACAGAGAGGAAACTCAAATTGAAAGTGTAAATGAAGCCCTGTTGGAGGGGTATATCAGAGCACATGATATTGCTGACTGTAGGCAGCACATTTAGAGAGATTTACAATGCTTGAGTTTTTGGGCACACATTTCAGGAAAAGAAATCCTTATCTTCTCTCTGTATTACTATGATGACAGTATGCTAGATGATACAGGTGCAGTGATGTGAGGAGGAGCACTGGAAACCACCATACGGGTTGTAAAATCTCGTTGTTTATTTCCACAGCTTTGTGTGACTCTTACTTTAAACATGCATGGGTTTTGACACTTTCAGTGTAATCTGTTTGCTTTGTGACATCTCATGATGTCAGTTTAAACTCTATTAATTTCCTTTTTTAATAAGAATACTGTGTTGGAAAAAATAGTTAGCACTTGTAGTTTTCTAATCCCTTCAGTTTATCATCATACTTACCCATTATGCTAAATGTACTTTTATGTTGAAGGTATGGCATATGGCAAACAGCACCTAGTTGGAGTCTTGTGTGGCTGCAGAATTAGCTTCTAAGAAGGCAGTGTTGCTCCTCCTCCAATTTTCACTATCGGTAGGTCTGATTAGAGAGGAGTAACGTTATCAGAAGCTGGACTGGTCTCTAAGAAAATGTCTGCTTAAGATTCAGAGCAGTTTTCCTTCTTCCTTTGTGGTAACATGTAAAGTAATAGTGAACTGCTTTTGTTGATGATCGGGATGGCATTTCTGTCTTGGGGAAACCTGTGTTTATGTCCAACGAATCTAGTTGCTACAGTTGCTCAGGCTTTCGTGGGTATCTCTCAAACTTGCGTTAGGGCTGTTGTGGCAGCATCTCGCTTGCGTTCCATGCTGCCAAGTGTGTAATACAGACTGCCCTGAACGGCGAACTGAAGTGGCAGCTTCTTGTCACTCTCCCAGCAAGTTCTGACTATCTGACGGCTTGTCAGTTAGAGCCCATATTGTTTATGTGCAATAAGATCCCCGTGTAATAGGAGTGAATCTCTTTCTCCATGAGGAATAGATGAATTGTCCCTTACAAAACAAGTCAGCTGGAGGGAGGCCTTTCATGGAAACTTTTCTGCTCTCCCCTGTGACAGGCAGTTTTCAATCCCTCCAGGGGAAATGTAGTGAAGTATGCCCTCACCTGCATTGACTAATTCGGTAATGTATTGAAAATAGAGATTATGTACTCGAATATATTCTTCATGTTCTGATCTGGAGAGTGAAGTTTGGTTAATAATAGATGTTATCCTTGATGTGATGGTGGCTAGGACTGAGTTCCAGTTGAAACTGCAGATCCTCAAAATAATGTGGTTGGAACGTGTAGGGTGGGGAATAGATATACAAATATATAATACAAAGTATGTGTTAAAAAGTGGTTTTACATATAAATTATATATAGACTGCATATATATTTTTCTTTTTTGAATATGGAAAACTACAGTTGCTTAGTTACGTGGCAACATCATTGAGGAGGTGAAAAAAGCAAACTGAAGAAAAGGTGTTTGGGAGAAGAGTTAATTGAACTGTTGATGGTGCAGGGCCTTATAAGACTAAAACACCTGAACAGTGTGACCGGTATGGTTATCAAGCCAAGGCTACGTGGGAGGGATTTGATTGCTCTCCCGAGATGAGACGTAGGGGCCTTTCCAGTGGAAAGGGGGATAGGGTCAGACTGCTGGTGTGGAAAGAACGTAGATGGGCAAGTTGTCACGATTGTTCTGTAAGCTCACTTACGTTTCTTCTCACGCATTGTCTGTCCTAATAGCACCTTCCGCAGAGTACATCTGTCCTGCTCCTTGTGACCTCCTCATGAAAATGAGGTGTCCAGGTACTTCTCTAACGTGGTCTGTACTACCACCTTTGAAATATTTCTGCATAGATACTCAGTCATTTGCAAGTCTAATGAGATGGACAGTCCAATGTCAAGAGAAGGAAAAAAGCTTCTGAAAACCTTTATATTTTATCTCTTCCCTCTGGTGTTACCTTCTGCCTGGCTCAAAAACTTAGGGCTACACCAAAGAAATGTTTAGACACTGATAAGGGTAGAGCTTTAAAGCAGACTTGGTATGCTATGAGTATCCGGCAGTATTATTTTCACCATTTTATTTGGTGATAAGTGGTATATGTACAAAAATGTTTGGGCTTTATAGGTGGTGGGAGGGTGTTTTGTTGGCTTTTAGCTTCATAACAGAAAGCTTTCTGATTAGCTCATGAACATTGAAGAAAAGAAGATTAATCTGTGAACGATACTACTCAGTTGAAACTACTGTTCAGTGTTTCAAGCTGACAATTTCATCTCTTCTCCTTTCACAAAAAATATATGTGCACGTTATTCATAAAAGAATCCAATGTCCTCGTTTGTGAAATATTCACCCTGTTAGACGATTAGAGCTCAGTGCCCAGGGAGTGATCACTTGGTGATAACCACACCCTGTCGAGCTTTACTGCCTCATTCCTTTTTGCTTTTCCTTTCTGTTTATATTTTTGTTGAATGTGACTTGGAGCCACCTTGAAGTTGAAGCAGGACAGGGTGCAGAAGGACATTGCTTATATGTCATCAGCATTAAGAAGTAATTCTGGCAAACTGCATGGCTTTCCATCTATTACTACTGAGATTTATGCTGCCTAGAATATTTCCAGGAATATTTATTATTGCTTACATTTTTGACGTAATGATGTATCTAAGAGCATAATTTTTATGTAGTTTTAGTGTCTTCTCTTTCTGCTGTCAGCTATGGCTGGGATTAAAAAAAAAAAAAGCCTGCTGGGTCCTATTGTCATCACTTTAATTGTGCCTTTATTACTTCTCCAGTGAAATTGGTGTGTATATTTGTAAAGCTGGGAGGGAAGAGAATCTGAGTCTAGGCCAGGATTTTGAGGCTATTGCTGTGATC